CTATTTCCGACGGAAATGAAGATCATAATCGATCTAAACACACATAAATACACTAAAAAAAAATGTTTTACTTTCTGACAGAGTTGGGTGCACTTATGCAAATTTACCAAATATGAATAGGAGGCTTTCCTACTTTTACCATTCGAAATGGCTTCCAAGCGCCCATAAAGTGCTACTGATGCTAGTGTTGTGAAGAAGCAACGTTAAGACCATTAGCCTTGCTACGAAAATGGAGGTTTTAAAACGGGAGGAGGAGCCACCTGCCAGGTCTCTGTGATTCGCCACCCTCCTCCTCTGCTCCACCACCTCCATCCATCAGTGAGTACAATAATAAATTATTTAGTTTATATATATATACTATAATAGTGTATATATATATATATATATATATATATATATATATATATATATATATATATATATATATATATATATATATATATATATATATATATATATATATATATATATATACTATTTTCCATAAAAATGCCATTGAATTTCTGCATATGTACTGTAATGTATTTTATGGGGCAAAGGGAGACTGGGGAACAAAACTCCCATATTTTGTCTATTTCTTATGGGGAAAATTGATTCCGTTAACGTCGCGGTTTTCAGGAACGGAACCACGACGTTAAGCGAGGACTTACTGTAGTGTAATGATTATTCCACAACTTTTATAATTTCAATACATGTTACAGTGGCAACATGCCATCTCCGAGCATGTTATTCCTCATAATATGCTTACGTGTGAGGACTTTTTACGTATTGTTCAGCAACAATTTGGCCTCGTAAATGCAAACTATGGATATCAAGGACCCCCTGTAACTCATTTATTATTTTATTATTACAGTACAGTATTAGAGAATTCAGTACTGTTTTCTACCCTGTTTGAACCTTTGTTCGTACCTCTGTGCTTTGCTGTTCTCTCGTTCAATGATAATTTTTCTTAAAATTAGGTTTTCAAGAATGCAACCCTATCGTTAAACGAGAGATACCTGTACAGTAATCCATAACATGCATTTACCTCTGACAAGTAATCTAATAAATGAAAAAAATATTATTTCCTAACATTACATAATACGTCTGCTAAATTATTTAATTAATTTTACAATGTCAAATACCTGTACGAAAATTATCTTGGATATTTATTGTCAGGGGCAACTCTATATGGGACATGGGTTTTGTAGGCTACAAACTTGAGCAGTTTACAGAGGGGGACATTTTAAACTTAATAATAATGATAATGTATACTGTAATAGTATTATCATAAGGTTACATGTTTTTTTCTTAAGTAATTTTTTTGGGGGTAGAATAAAAAAATTAAATAAAGTACTGAATTAATTATAATACACATACACTGTAACATTACTCTTTTTGTGTCATACAAGATATATATACTCCTTTGATAAATCTAATACTCTATTTCATGCTGCTACTTAATTATTACAGCTAACATCATTCACTAATTTGTGATACATTTAAAATAAAACAACAAGGTACTGCTGCAAGGCATTTATTTTATCAGCATCCCACTTTTATATGAAAACAAGCTAGGCTGACATTATCATTGCATCTGAATTGCACAAGGCACTTAATATAGTATAAAAATATTTGCTTAACATCTTTAACACCATATAAACGTGAAAATGTGTAAATATCAAGTTTCCCCAAATGAATAACATCGTTTTGTTATAAAATTGTATAACAGCTTTAATAATAGATGCAGTGTCATCCAAACAGACTAGAATCTTATTAAATGCTTAGCATATTACTTTTTTGTCTTAACATTAAAATTGGTGAGATTGTTCACTAAACTTTCTTAAGTCATACCTACAATGAACAGATATACAGGGGAGCTTCATATTTTTGGGAAAATGTGTATCAATTGGTATATTCATCTTTTACACTTGGTACTGTACATTAAGATCTAAGCTGTAATTGTGTGTTTAAATTTCAAAAGCAATAATGACAAGTCACCACAGTACCAGAACAGCCATATCTACTATGAATAGATATGAATAATGTCCTAGTTACTGATACTAGTGATTATTTTTTGGATTATGATCATTTACCTTATAAGCACGACTAAAGATGTCAATATCTATATACCACAGATACCTACCAGGATCCAACAAAACTATTTTTCCTTAAGTATGTCATTGCTACGAGAGAAAAATAATCTGGGTTTAGGGACAGAATAATCCCAGTGGAATTGGCAGTCAGCTATTCACAAGGCATTTCATGAATATATTTTGTAGGACCCTGATATATACATCAGAATGTACAAGTTTACAATAACTAATGAATGCATAATTCAGCTTAAAATCATATCCTCTTCCAAGGTTCTAAATATCACTGATGTTTTTAAGGTCTGGTAATGGAATAAATCTGCCAAATGGTTTTCCTTGTTGAGTGATATCTTCCCAGGTGTGAGGGACTTGCTTATCTAGAACTTTTAGTGACAGAGACCAGCTCTGTGCTTACATTAAGAAATTCATCAGTTCTTGCCTGGCAATGATTTGCAAAAATATTTCAGGAACCTATACCATGATTTGCTCTAACACTGCAATATAAATGTCAAATTTTCAAGAACGTACAATACTATGCACTGTTATAAATGATCATGCATAAACAATTGCATCTTAGCATGTATTATTCATTATGAAGCCATAAAGAGATCTGACACTGGTTATGTGAGCTACTTAAGTATTATATGACCAACTCAACACTTAAAAAAAGAGCACAAACAACACTAATGTATTGTATTTATAACTAGAATAAAATTTTCAGCTGCCCAGTGACCATTGTAGGAAAAAAGGAACAAAGAAATCCATGAACATTAATAATAAAATTGTGTAGCACTTTTATTGCTTAAAATTAGCAACATTAGTTTTGGGAGCAAAGATAAATTTCTCACTACTATATGCTACAAATTATATTAACCTCAGCTGAGATCTTAACTTTTAACATTTACCTCTACACTAATGAAAGACATGCAACATTAAATTATGAATTAATTTTTTGATAAGATGCACCCATATATCTGCAATTAGATACTGTATATGTATCTGCCTGCTACTGTCATAACTTCAACTTTTGTAGTCTCATGGGTTTATTAAAAAGAAGGGAGAATCATTCCTCCAAATTATATATATATATATATATATATATATATATATATATATATATATATATATATATATATATATATATATATATATATATATATTCGACAGTGAAGTATAACATTCATGATACCGAACAAGTAAATTTTCTTTCAAATGAAGGGTTAAATACCAGGAGTTTTGGGAAGCCATGTATGGAAGCCTTATGCACCCAAGAATACATGTTCCTGATCCAAACCTAGTTATTCAGAGCCAGGAAAACATTTAAGGAATGGATTATCTTTATAGGAGCACAAATTCTCACCAGAATTTACAAGACCCTTAAGAAGAGCAGAGGTTAGAAAACTGCTATGAGCTGAGGAATAATCACAGCTTGTAATCAACAGCACCATATGGTAACCCAGGATTGCAGAAATTGGACCCACTACTAGAGCTCAAAACATGCAGATTTATCAAGAGTGAAATTTCAATAACAAATGCTTATGTTATACAGGTTGACAACCCCTTATCCGAAATTCAGAAAACAGGGATTAGTCCACCCGGTCACTGGTCACTGACCCACATTGGGGCCTGGGGGGGGGGCTAAAATATAATAATAATTATAATTCATAGGTCTAGGTCGTGTTTACCACTTATAATCTTTTTTTCATTCTTGCATTTCTTCGTTATTATTATTTACAGTATTGTTGTTGTTGTTATTATTATTATTAATATAAAATTTATTATTGTTATTATTATTATTTTATTTTTGTGTATTTTTTATTATAAATTTTATTTACTATGAATAATTATTATTATTATTACATTTTCGCCCCCCAGGCCCCTGTTGGGGTCAGTGTGCCGAGGAGGGTAATCCCTGTCCACAATCATTAGGTAATGTAATCTTTAAATAGCACACAATAGGTGTGTGTGTATATATGAATTAGACCAGGTCCACAATGGTCAGGTATTAGGTAATGACCCTACTAATCTTTAAATAGCACACAACGGTTGGTGGTCAGGTCAGATGGTCAATATACCTATGATCATTGCTTAAAGACTACATCACCAGTGATTTACTTGCATATATATGTATGTATGTATATATATATATATGTATGTATATATATATATATATATGTATGTATATATATATATATGTATATATATATATATATGTATGTATATATATATGTATATATATGTATGTATATATATATATGTATGTATATATATATATGTATGTATATATATATATATATATGTATGTATATATATATATGTATATATATATATATTTTTTTTTTTTTTATTAAGCTTCCAGTACATGGGGAAGCAGTATGGTTAGCACTGCACTTGCCATCCTTCACTCCAACATGTCAAGTTAGGTACCTATTCAGTTAGGTCAACTGTGGGTGTTCCAGGTGCAAATCTACATTCCATATGACAGGATGTTGCATCTCACCTTATATTTACATATACCCTTGATTATTGAATTTTCAACTCCATAATACCCAAAAACTTGGGGATTGAAAGAATACCGTACAGAAACAGTATACTGTATCCATGTATATACAGTTGCTCGCATGTGTAATGTTCTTCACCTTGCTGGTGACTTATGTGGCAACATCACAGTTAAATAAAGTAATACAACAACAAAAGTATACAGTGAAACCAACTATAGTATATGGTACATAAAATATGCAGTATGACTTTTTTTTTTTTTTTTTTTTTTTAAAGAGTAAAATTGATGTGGCTGTTGAGGCCCACCTAAAGACACTTGATACCACACAGTTTCTTATTAAATAACTTGTAATTAGGAATACAGTAAAGCCATATACTGTACAGTATACACATATTCCTTTTCATGATATTTCTTTAGTCTATCTACCATTATTTTTTTTTTTCCATCATTTCAGACGAAGCATTGCATGTAGAATTCTGAACATTTTATGCAAGCTTATCGATTGGATGAAATTATATGGATATAAAATTTGTGAGCGTCAGGTGTATATTCTGGGAATAATTACACTTTAAATATTAGTGCAGTTTCTTTGGGCCACCTGGCCCTTACAATATCACTAGGATAAATGTGAACAAAGAACAAAACTTTGTTATTTGATTAAGCCTTCCAAAGAACTAGATAGGGTAAATTCATGGATAGGACTAATGCTGTGCTTGTCATCATGACTGATGCAACCAAAAAAGGTAATTTGACTTTCATCAATAGATCCTTCCTAAAAAATTATCCAAATTATACTAACTCCTCTAGGGCAGTTGTGATTTGAAAAATTTAATGATAGCCACCATAATGGATGAGAATATGTAACTGATTCATAGGGAAGTTGTAGAGGGGTGCTCCTTGAGGGAACCATTCCAGAAAAGTTTTATGAAAATCTGACAATGGTAAAAGTGTAAATGTAAGGTTAGCATACAGACAATATGTCATTGCATTAGCTTTTCTGATCATTGACATGTAAAACTAAAACTGCATCTGGACAATGGAATTTAACCATTAAGTGTATGATGTACAGGTTATTTCCTCAAATATATTGCACTATTATTACAATTCCATCCACTGTAATCAGTATTATATACATAAAAAAATTTGTATATTATGTACTACAACACAAGACTGACTTCATGGTATACTGCTCCAGTGGCTTGGATGCCAATTTTTTTTTTTCTTTTTTTTTACTGAACTCTCAATACATAAAGCAATACAGTACATCCAATTACACATATAATAAACATTATTTGCATACTTGAAACTATACAAACCCGGTAAATTATTAAATGAATTTTTCTTCAAAATTGGAGTATGAAAATGCATTACTATTCATTCAATTCATTGAATTCTTGACGGCAATCATGAATTGGTAAAAAATATAAATTAAATGGTCAGTTAATAAAAATTTTCAGCATCCAAATCAAACTGATTTCAATCAATACAGTAATTAACAATACAAAAACTGACAAACTTGACAAATGTAATAGGATATCAATGAACAGTAACTTAAGTGTAAATTTTCCTCTTCTAACTTCCTATACAAGGGATTTTTTTTCTGGATATTTGTAGGTGGAACGAGTACACAAATTGATGAGCCTAAAAATAAGCATTGCATCTCCCATAAAAAGTTGAAATGAGCATTGGTATAATGTACAGCTTTGCACCCTAATGCGGACCCTTTGACCTAATTTTCTAAAACTGGCCTGGGTCACTGGACTACTAGTACAAGAGCTAAGCCCCATATAGAACAGTATAGAATGAGTAAATATGAGCGAAATGATGAATGGTATGTCCACAGATTTCTATACACAAGACTGTCTGGCTAACTCACAAGATGATTAATATACCCTGGTGCCACCTACCTTAGGTTGAAGGATGAGGCTAACTACATAGAGAGCTGATGATAGAAATGCTACTGTGAAGGTAAAGGCATTATACACAAAACATAGCTAATACTTTTATCATCTAAATAAATCACTCACTGGCTCTTTTTAACTTTAAAATTGTCCTTGCATAATTTCAGGATATACTACCTATAATAATATCAGGGGTACCATTCAGGATAACGATAGCTTGGTCTTCTTTCATTAATTAATCTCACCTCTTTTATTTATAGAGTTTGTGGGAACCTTCACATAATAGCTACACTGTACTTCACAACGAAGCACAGAATCCTTCATCTCACATCATATGAGCCTAAAATTCAATGATTTATGTGACTATATGTTTGTATATTATGTTAATGCAAAATCAAAATATAATTTTGTTTTAACTATCCAAGCTTCAAGCATATTCCAATACCTAACAAGCAGAGGACAATGAGCGATACCCTATTCCAAACCTGATGGGGAGTGAAAAGGGAAAAAAGAGCATCATTCAATGTAAGCATGGAGTAGGTAATAGCTCAAATGGCTACTAATCTAAAGCTTATTGCATGAACATGTGCATTCTCTAAAAACCAGTGATCATGCACAGTTTTCTTGTCATATCACATCAACCTTGGATGTAAACTTAATTAACTGATTAACCAGGTTGCACATTTGCTACTATCCAAAGCACCAGTTGCATGAAGCCTAAGTATAAAAAAAATAAAAATAAATCTATGCAATGCCATTATAAGTTGCAAAGTGTAACCATAGCTTGGTACCCACAAAACTAAGAAGTTGTTGGTGATGCTGCAGATGCTGCGGCCTGCAATCTAGCAGCTACCTCAGGTTCCAGACTCTGAACCACAGAACTCACTTGGTCAGGGAAATCACGACTAACACTTGCAACCAACTCTTGAATCAGTTGATTTGTTTCTGCAAAAAAAAAAAAAAAATTTTTTCGTGAAACCAAAATTGTTACAAATATTGCAAGAATATTAGTAGTAAATGTGGAAAGGATGAAGTAGCTACTCAGTGAAGAGCAAAATGGATGCAAATAAAAATTAGTATGGGCAGTGTCTCAGATGACGGCTTGAAATGTAATGAAGGTTATTTAATAGACAAAAAAAAAAAAATCTTGGGGGGGGGGTGGATAGAAGAGCTCGTTTCTATTCAAATTATCATTTGCATCCGAGGTAAAATTTTATCACAGACTAATAACCATTTTAGGAATCATTACTATAAACTTACTATCATCTGCTTGCTTTGTGGTGTATAAAAGAGCAGCCAAACGTAGGACTGGTGCCAAATTCTGTGCAAGCATGGGATGCTGAGCACGGTATAGCACAAGGAAACACTCAAAAACTGTAGAATTTTCTTCAAAGTCTTCCCTCAATGGTAAACATCCCAACACCACAGGAAACACCTGGAAATTGAGACAATTCAAAATTAAATTTCCATGTAACAGAAATTTCATCTACAATTCTTCCTTCCTAAGGGAACTCTCCTTTGGAGGGGTGACTATGGCAGAAAAGACTCCAGGCCATCTTATTACACATTTTCTTTGCCCTTTTTATTCCATATATCCTCTTCTACATTCTCTCCAATGAATTACTCCACCTTTCCCTCCTATGTTGTTGGATGTTTCCCTCTACACAATGCACTAGCTATACTATCTTTATACATATCCTGTATATTCTTTGCTACCCGGTCTATGATATCCCTATAACATGCTCATACTATCTCGAGAAATTCCCTCCAACCATTTTGCCACTCCACAAATGACATCTCCATCCCTGTCAACAATTCCGAACATCCCAGATACTTTGCCGTTTCACACCTTTCCATCATGTTTACCCCCAGATACAGTTCTCAAGTAATTACTTACTGTAGCTTAAATTTAAGATCAAACTGTTTCAATTGAAGTCCATGTTTCACTATGACATGCAAAGATAAAAAATTTAAATACCTTAACTTAATTATAATTCCCAACTCTTTGACTTCCCTCTTCTTATATATTGCGCTCTCCTCAATTTCTTCCTCTGCCATACCATTTTTACATAACACTTACTCAGCAGCTATTTCTAGATATATGAATTTCCCAATGTTTTCCAGTTCAGTAAAGTCTTAATTAACGAGTGACAAGTTCTTGAAAAGTGTCTTTCATAAATTCTCACCACGTGGAACTTCTTTTCCCATATGATCATGTTTAAAAGCTGAATAATCTTGTGCTCTTGCTCTGTAACATGTATAACAGGTCCCTTACCTGTTCCATAGGCACATTGGTTGGACTGGTGGTGATGAGCCTAGCCACAGCTCCACATATGTTGTCCAGTGCTCGTGGGAAGGTTTCTTTACTGAGAGCCTCTGATAACATGGCCAGGATGTTGTTGTAGTGTCCCATAACAGCATCCCCACCTGAAAGAACAATAATTTGGAAACCATATCAACACTACTACTGTATTTGGTAGAGCATTTTTTCTACAGTTCACGATTTTTTCACATTGAAATAGTGGCAAATACTGTACTTTTCACATATTGTTTATCTTCTTTTAATGGTTAATTAAAATTTAAATCTTATATTGTATTACCATGCTGCCCAAGAACCCCTAATCCATAAATAGAGTTTGAGCGAACTTCATCATCTTCATCTCGAGAGCCCTCTTGGAACAGAGGTAACAGCTGTGGAACAAATTGGCCACTTGCTGTGCCCAAAGCCTCCACAGCCTCAGCTAGAGTTCCAAAGCTGAAAGAACGCTCTGCAACACTGCAACTCTTTTTCTGCAAGAAATAGTCACAAAATTATTTATATTAACCTATAATTTATTCAAGATTCTTGGACTAATCAAAAGTAATAGCATGATGTAGTGACACCATCTAAATTAATGTACTCCCCAAGAGTACTTCTGATGTTTTATCAACCTAACGTCACTACATGAATGCAAGTGATAAGCGTATTTTTTGCCTGCTCTCTGCATAACACCAATACTGTAGCTTACCTTCATCCTATCCCTAAAGTTAATCATTTTTGGAGACAAACATGGAATACCCCTTTCTTCTCACCATGATATTGAACAGGCACACATTTCTACTCATGGAATGTTTACTCAGCAAGTTGTAAGCTGCCTATAGATGCAAACAAAAAAGGCATAGTGTACCATAAGCCCAGTATCTTTTCAACCGGAGGAATGGGCACCCATGGCCAGCTAGACAACATTACACCCCATAACCTCTCAAATATCAATGACATTGAAATTATTATCTTATATGGAATACAAAACACTAAGAGAGCTCAGGTTCTCACTTGGCTCAGCTATGCCAATATTGTTATTATTGTCCACTTTATATTTGTATTTTTCTGGCTAAATAAACTGTTTCAATATCAATAGCCAGATAAGTATACCCTGTATATAACTGTAATACTTACTGTTTTGTTAGCAAAGAGAGGAAGCAACTGAGTAAACTGAGTGGCAAATTCTGATTGGCTCATGGCCTTTCCTAGACTGGGCACAACTTCT